TGTGTGTGTGTGTGTGTGTATGTATGTGGACCACTTTGGAAGTACGTTGTGGTTGTGTGCTGGCGCCAAGAGGTATACAGGGGATATATATATATATATATATCTCCACACACCGATATTTATATCACCGTCAAATAGTCATGCTTTCTATGATTTTTGCTTCGTGCGTGTTCCGGGGTGTGATATTGCCCAATCCCGAATCTTCGTTTCCTGATGCTTACCATCGCTTGTGTGTTGGAGTGAAATATCCCTCCTCCCCCTCCTCGCATTTTTTGTGTCTGTGTGTGCGTGTGTTTCGGGGGCTTCCCTCGCCCTACCGCACATCGCGCTCGCAGGGATACCGTTTAGTCCACGCAAACGATGAACTTGCGCACACGGAAGGTGGAACGAAACAGAGATGAGGTGCGCCAGTTGTCGCAGAAGGGTGAAAACCGCTTCTGCTTTGATTGCGGCATTCGGGGGCCGCTCTATGCCGTGACGAACTTTCACATCTTTGTCTGCTCGACGTGTGCTGCGCTGCACCGCTCGCTCCAACACAAGGTGAAGGGTATCTCCATGACGGAGTTCTCGGACGACGAGGTCACTGGCCTCCAGGTAGGCGGCAATGACAGCGCAGCCAAGGCGTGGCTGCCCAATTACAATAGGAGCTTGCCCACCCACGGCAACGATATCATCATTAAGGAATTTATCGTGGCTGTCTTTGACAATATGAGGTACGCTGACCGAGAGAAAGTTGATCAGCTTCGCAGGGACGTGCAGAGGGCCATCAAGAACGAGCCGGCCCAGCCACGGCTCACGTCTCTGCCACCAACAAACCGCACCCAGCAACAGCAACAGCAACCACCACCACCACAACAGCAACCACCATCACCACCGCAGTCACAGCCACAACCACCACCACAACAGCAGCAGCCTTCGAACTGGAAGAGTGTGCCCCCCGCGCAGAAGCCGCCGTCTGACTGGTTTGGCCAGTCAGGTTCCCAGGCGCCGCAGACCACCGCTACTGTTGCGGATCCTGCTGCGCAGAAGAATAATGATGATGATGATGTGTTTGATGATTTTTTTACAGCTGCGCCCCCCGCTGCAACGACTGCTGCTCCCTCTCCGAGTACTACCACTGCTTCAGCTGCCACTCCTCAAAGTACGCTCGTAGACTTGTTTTCTTCTGTTCCACTCGCGGATCCGCGCGCAAGTCAGACTCCCTACGGTTGTCCAGGCCCTGCTGGAGTGCAGGTACCGTACCCGCCCCCCCAAGGGTTCTCTAACATGCAGGCGCAGTATCCAGCAACGATGCCACATCAGCCTGAAATGCAGTATTATGCTGGGATGAATGAAGGTGGGCATAACTTTCCTCCTTATGCATATTATCCTCAGCAGCAGCAGCCGGTGCTGGTTCAGCCACCGCAACAGCAGCCACAATATAATTTCCCTACGGGTGCCCCAGCACCACCAATCGTGTTGCTGAGCAAAACAGCAGCTGCTCCTGGTCCGAAGCCGTTAGCGTATGGCACAACACCAGCGGATCTAAATAATGTGAATTTCTTTCAAGCGCCACCCACGGATCCGTGGTTGACGCCTGCAACACCTCCGCCGGTAAAGATGGAGGCAGAGCAACAATCAAACGAGGGGCAAAAGGATGTTTTCGCCTCGTTGAACCCGTTTGGTGGCAATCGTTGAGGCTAATCTGGCGAATGCTGGCGGGTAGTGCCAGCTGCAACGAAAATATCACTCAGGGTTGCTTTTCCTCCGCTTTTCTTTTGATGGGTGCGATAAGTTCGCTCTCTCTATCTCCCTCTCTTTGTTACTCTCTTTATTCCTCCCCTTTGTGTTTCGGACTTCATTTTCTCCTAGTGGCAAGACAGGTGGTAAGGTGGGGGAAGGAGGAAGGGCACGGTCCATGTCAAACACCGGGATGCCGTGGGCGTACCATGCTGTTGTGCAGTTCGCCCACTTGCACAAGGCCTGCGCCAATAGTGGTCTACTGAATACCGCGAAGACCAGTGGGATATCATTGGGTACGCGAGGACCCCTTCCAAATCTTCTTCTTTCACAGTCGTCCAGTGGCGTTCAGCGTGCGGTTTGGCTTCTACACCGCCGGGGAAGTGTGCTGGGGCTCGTGGTCAGTCCGCGTTTGGGTGTGTGCGAGTGCCTACCGCGTGGCTCTGCGGCGGGCGGCCCGAGGNGGGCTCGTGGTCAGTCCGCGTTTGGGTGTGTGCGAGTGCCTACCGCGTGGCTCTGCGGCGGGCGGCCCGAGGGAGGACCGCGTTATACGGCACCTGCGGTCTCTCCCGTTTCGGGTGGCGGGTAGCACTCCGGTGCGGTTGCCAATGGTGGTTCACAAGAATCACCTGATCGGCTGGTGCCTCAATGGGAGCGCTGCGCCACTCTACGCACACACAATAGATGAACTTGCGCGGCTGCGACCCGCGAGGCTGAAGACGTTGTCACCCGAGAACGCCCTCGTGTGCGGGACATACTACGAGTGGGATAACTGGAGGGAGGTGGCGAGGGAACCCGGGTGGTCATGGCATCTGGCGGATGAGCACGTTACGGACGGGCTTGTAAATGGACAGATGACTTTTGATGAGCTTCGTAGAGCGGCTGTTGAGGCTTCATAGAACACCAGCAAAGAGCAAACCATAGACGAGACACCATTAAGGCGTGTCGCATAGAAGGTGGGAGTTTGAAGACCGTGGTGCCAGCGGGGGAGAGGGGCCTGCTGTTGGCGGCGCCAGAACAAAAAAAAAATATATGAGAAAACATAATGTACTATGCGAGTGACACCCACGTTGCTTTGTGCACATCCCTGTGCGAGAGAGAGAGAGAGTGCGAAAGTGTGTGTGTGTGTGTGTGTTTCTGTGGTTCCGGCCCGCTTCCACCTGAAGTCTTACTTTTTCTTTTCCCTTTCTCCAAAAAAAAAAATTCCCACGCATTTTCAAATTATTTCGGCCTCTGCGTACTGCTTTAGACTAGGGGCGATGATTCATTGGAGCCGGGTGCGCTTGGCGTCGGCCGGGCGTGTCTTCATGGACGTTGCCATTGGGTCGCATTCCCCAAAGCGGATTGAGTACGAGCTCTTCAGCAAGTGCCCTGTGGCCTCGGAGAACTTTCTGAAGCTCTGCACCGGCGAGAATGTTCTTCCCCGTGTACCCAGCACAACCGGCCTAGGCGACATGTCGTTTGGGGACCAGTTCCTCCCGCAGCTCACGTACAAGAAGTCCACCTTCCACCGTGTGCAGCGCGGGTACTTGATACAGGGAGGCGACATCGTCAGTGGCAGAGGGACGGGGCAGCTGTCCATCTACGGAGAGACCTTTGACGCGCCGGAGGAGGTGAGTGCGTCGGTGTTCGACCAGCGTGGTCTCGTCGGCACAGCCGTCAGCGCCCCCCACCTGAACGGCTCTCAGTTCTTCATCCTCACGGCGAAGGAGGCGCCGCACCTGAATGGCACCTGCATTTGCTTTGGACGTGTTGTGAAGGGGCTTGACGTCGTTGAGGCAATAGAGCGTCTGCCGCTGGACCCCACCGGCTTCCCCTCGGAGCGTGTGGCTATTGTCGACTGCGGCAAGCTGAGATGAGGGGGCGCGTCTCTTTGCCGGCACACTGGCCGCTTTCACAGCGACGGCTGTGTGTGTGTTTTTATTATTATCATGCCCCTCGTGGCAAAAGAAAGAGAAGCACACACAAACACAACAACAACAACAAAAAACAAGCCGCAAGTACGTTATTGTGTCGTTGTTGCTGCTTTTGTCTATCTGTTGTTGACAATCCACCGTTTGTAGTGCTATTGTTTATCTATATAACTTTTTTAAAAAAAAAATTCTGCTTTGGTGCTGCTCTTGGCTTTTCGTTTCCTTCCGGCGCCGCTTAGTTGGCCGACGGTGTCTGCACGCAAGGATGTACGGCATGAGGAACCCGATGAAGTACTCCCCAGGGGTGCTCGTGGGCAACTGGTACGAGGAAATGCGGGTGCGCGAGGACAAGGTGATGCTCTACCAGAGCAAGTGCGCCACGAACGGCTACCAGGGAACCCGCGAGCGTGAGGCCTCACACCTGAGCGAAACTACACGCGTAAGCGAGTTGAAGGACGTGGTTGTGCTTGGCCAGCCACTGCAGCTGGTGAGCGTCGCCACCGGCGCTGCGTTGGCCCTCGACACAGCGCCGAAGCTTTCGCCAAAGCCGAGCCAGTGCCTCGTGACGGCAGTGGACACGAGTCAACCTCAAATACGGTCAACATGGGTGATTCAAAGGGCAAAGGACGAGAACAACATTGCCTACACACAGCAGCTAAAGGAGGACAATACGTTACACTACGGACAGCGCGTGCGCATCGCCAACGAGGATGCCCATCCCGACGGCTTTTATTATCTGCATTCCGGGGTTAAAGACATTGGCCACTCGGGAAGCCAGCCGCTGACCGCCGCACTGAACGCATGCAAGGACAACACTTTCGTTATTGCAAGACCAGGCGAGAAACGCGAGGACATCCGCGATGGTGGCCCTGTGCGTGTTGGTGATGAAGTCGTCCTCTTCCACGCCCCCACAAATCGCCCAATCCGGTGCGCCACAACGACGCAAAAGACTTCTTTTGGTTACGAGTTTGAAGTGAGCTGCTCCTTTGGCGGCGAAAACTACTCCAGGTCCCTTGGCGCGGTGACATCGCACCCCGAAAATCTCTTTTTGATTGGCGCCCCAACGCGCATGGCGCAGACAAACTCATCGGCGGCGGCGGCGGCAGCAGCGGTGGCGACACTGAGGAGCCGCTCCGACCGCTCCGATGCCATGCTGATGTCCATGAGCTGCGGCATGGGATTGGATATCGTCATGGCGCGTATTCGCGAGGGGGCGCTGCGCATTGGCGGGCGGCTGGGCTTCCGGGTCCTGGCGAAGGCGATGGGAACCGCATGCAACGAGCAGCGTGTCACACCAATCAACCGTCAACAGGTACACTATGGTGTGCGTCTCATGGGGGTTGCGATTCAGCCAGTAGAGATGGATGCTATTTTCAAGAGATTTGACCGCGACGGAAACGGCCTCATAATCGCCCAGGCCTTCCTCCGTGAGTTGCGCGGGGACATGCCACCGAACCGTATTGAGGCGGTCGTGAGGGCCTTCCAGATGCTGACCATTGAGGGCGGCGGCTCTGTTGATTACGTGGACATGCTGAACCTCTTCAAGTATAATGCGCCCCGACACCCTGATGTGGAGGAAGGCGCCATGAGCTGCGAGGAGGCCATCTTTGACTTTATCAACTGCTGGCCTGGTATGAACAATACCACGACGGTGACGCTGGAGGACTTTGTGGCGTACTACACGGATATATCACCAGCTGTCGAGAGTGACGAGCGCTTCGTTGCGTCAGTGCAGCGGTGCTGGGTGATTCCCGCCACAGACGAGTATAAGACGGGCCTACCCCGCCGGTCTGTAGGAGTGGTTCACACCGACGATACCACTGAGACGATATACCTCCCAGATTCTCTGATGATAGATGCCCGTGACAAGGCTGCTGTTCAAAGAATACTCGTGCAGCATGGCGTGAGAGATATCAAGGACATGCAAGTGACAATGTAGGGTACTCATGTGGCGGCGTAGCCATTGGCAAGATGTACGTATCAACTCACACACTCATCCACCCTCCAGGGGACGTAAGGCAAGGAGAAGCCGAAGAAAAACTGCTGTTCCTGTGCAAGGGGGAGGCTGGATGCGCTTCTGAACCGGGCTCTCTGTGCAAACTCCACTTCTTCGTTTTGTGTGTGTTGTTCTTTTGCTTTTATTCTTGCTTAGCTGCTTTCTTTCACTCTCACTTTCTCTCTCTCTCCCTTTCGCACTCGCCCTCATGTTGTTGTCCATCCTGAAACAACGAAAACAAAAAAAGATGGAGGTGGTGTGCAGTGGTGTGCGGTGCCGTGTGGAGGTGCGCGGTTCTGTGGTATCGTGCACTCCTCTAGACGAGGAGGGGGGCGAAGCTGCGGCCGTTTTTGCATGCTCGGAGATCAGTCAACTGCTGCGCTCGCGGCGTGATCAAGGGTCAGCGAAGATTGTTGTTGGCTCAAAGACCATCCTGATGCGTTTTGTCGAGCCCCGCGAGCGGGAGCAGTTCATCGACGCGGTGCAGAACGTTTACAACACGAAGGGGGATAACGATCAGTGGGTGGCGTCCACAATCTGCCACACCGCCGTGGACCTGGGTATCTTGGACGAGGCCGCACTGAATTCCATCATCAAGGAGGAGTTCCCGCGCGGTGTCGTCGTGGTCTTCGACGCCATTGGCTCGCTTGTCGACCCCGTGACCTTCAAGCTCCGTCCCATAACGGAGCAGCTGGAAAGCGACATCCTTCGCCAAGTTCCGATCCTGGCAAAGATATTCGCGAAGCACGTTACGGACGAGGAGACAAGGCAGCGCTTTTGGGAGGCTGTGGTGCGAAAGTACTTCTGCTTCTCCCGCACATTCCTGGAGGAGGAGATGCGTGAGCTCGAGACGGAGGACGCTGCTGCTGGTGCGGCGTCAGCACCCGGCGCGGGTGAGGCGAGTCTGTCGAGCATCAACGTGTCATCGGGGCGCGCCCTTCCAAAGGCACAGGCACTTGTCCCGCACCACCTCTCGCCCACGAGCGCGGCGCCAGTGACGACACTGCAGCCGCACGCGCGTCTCTTTTATGGGCGCCAGCGCGCGTCGTCAGGGCGGCGCCTGAGAGAGTGGCAGTCGGAGGCGCAGCGCCCGCCTGCCTACTTGCCGGTACGACGCCCACCACCCGTGTTGCGGACGCTGCCGAAGGAGAGCAGCAGCAGGGAGGTGCTTGAGCTACTCAAGAAGTTTTGGAGTGGCGACGCAACTCAGAAGAGGGCGCTG